TAGTTTTAGGTTCTTTTGTCAAACACTACATAAATACTAATACTATTAACATCACTATTATTTATCTGGTGCATAATTTAATAAAATAAAAATAAAATTAATAAATTAAATATAAATATTAGTCGCAGACAATTGAAATAATCCCGACGAGCATCTGTGACACCAATTTCCCAGATCATCCGCCGTGGAGGTCTTCGGATGGCTGTCACTAGTGTATCTACTGGACGGGTCTTCGCACTTTCTCCCAGACAATTTTAGTAGGCGTCTGTCTTATCCCACCGTCCCGATGGGGACTTACTAGTTCCCGAATCACGGGAAAATTTATCGACATTCCCCAGGTTCCCAGCGTAATTAAAATGGCAATCCCCGTCCCGAAAATACCCGTGGTCCTCCCTCTTATTTCCTTCTCTCTTCTTCTCTCTCTCCTCTTCTTCTCTCCTCTCTCTCTCTCTCTCTCTCTCTCTCTCTCTCTCTCTTCTCTCTCTTCTCTTCTCTCTCTCTCTCGCTCTCTCTCTCTCTCTCTCTCTCTCTCTCTTTCTCTCTCTTCCTCTCTCCTCATCTCTCTTCTTCTCTCTCTCTCTCTCTCTCTCTCCCTCCTCCCACTCTCTCTCTCTCTCTCTCTCTCTCTCTCTCCTCTCTCGGCTCCACTCTCTCTCTCTCTCTCTCTCTCTCTCACTCTCTCTCTCTCTCTCGCATCTCTCTCTTCTCTCTCTCCCTCTCTCTCTCTCTCTCGCTCTCTCCTCTTTCTCAAAACTCTCTCTCTCTCTTCACTCTCGTCTTCTCTCTCCTTCTCTCTAATCTAATCTCCTCTCTCTCTCTCTCTTCTCTTCTCTCTCGACTCTCTCTCTGTTTTTTTTATATATATCTCCCTGTTTCTTTCTCTGTCTGCCTCTCTCCTATCTCTCCCTATCTTTCTCTCTCTCTTTCTCTCACTATCGTGCGCGCTCTCTCTCGCCTTCTTTCTCTCTTGTTCACACACTATTCAATAGTCTATTTCCTTGTCGTGTTCGCTCAGAGTAGCGAATCATACAATAGCCTATAGGCGACTAGCGCCAATATCGAGTGTTTTCATCAGCTGTACAGAGCAGAAGCTCATCTAATATAGGCCGCATTTCGTGTCACTCCGGCAAGTTAATATCATATTCTGTGATGATTATTTCCCCGAGCGAAAACAACAACCAGCGCTGATGAGCCGCCAATCATAACTGGTTTTACGCTCATTTATAGGGTCCGCCAGGCCCACCAGGTGGCGTGGGCGCCACCAATAGCTATAATGAAGACGGCAATGAAATCCGTTACACGGACGCCGAGAAGGTGAGAGCATGCAGTATATCGTTGATGACCATACTTATACTTTACACCCACGTTACTAGAGTTACAATTAAGGTGAGAGAGGGTTGGGATAGGATTATCCCTGTGTGAGGGTTAGGGTTAGGGTTAGGATTAGGGTTAGGGTTTTGGTTAGGATTAGGGTAGGGTTAGGGTTAGGGTTAGGTTAGGGTTAGGATTCTGGGTGGGGTTAAGGTTAGGGTTAGGGTTAGATTTAGGGTTAGGATTAGCGTTAGAGTTAGGATTAGGGTTAAGATTAGGGTTAGGGTCAGGGTTGCAGTTTGGGTTAGGGTTGGGGTTAGGATTAAGATTTGGCTAGGATTATTGTTAGAATTAGGGGTAGCATTAAGGTTAGAGTTATGGTTGTGGTTGTGGTTATGGTTAGGGTAGAGTTATAGTTAGTGGTTAAGTTAGCGATAGGTTAGACATTTTGATAGGGGTACATTTATACATGAGCGTACAAGGATACATACCTTCACACCTATTATAACAAGACTCTCGCTGAATTGTGACTGTCGCGTAACGTGTGTCATCGGTTGATCTCCGCTAGGGTGACATCGGTGAGCCTGGGCCACGTGGTCTACCTGGAATCCTTGGACCGACCGGTGACCCGGGCATACATGGCAATCCTGGCTTGAACGGCGAACAGGTACGCGGTCGTGATCAGTCATAACAGAGGTCGTGCAGAGGTCAAGATCGTGAAAAGATAGTTAGGTCTCTTACGCCCTAACAAAAGACTTTAGACAGGAGTAAATCATTGAACGTACATCGATAGCGAAACTATAGCGAAACCTATCAATTACAGTTTTTATTTCTTGCGTTATTGTTTGTATTATTCGTTATATTATTATTTATGTTATTTATG